ATAAATATTTTAGATCATTTCATGAATTTTCACAATAGAATCCTAATTTCAAACCTTATCTAAGAGTATAATAAAAAATGTATCTCTACCTAGATACATTTTAGATTGTATCTGTATCAAGATAATCTTTTAGAAGCTGTATCTGTATCTAGATAAATATTTAGACTATGTAACTGTATCTAGATCCATTTAAAAAGTATCTTCTAACAACTCTGATTGATAGAGACCCAATTATTTCTAAATTTTTCAAAAAAATTAGGCCGTTAGCTATAAACTCCCTACTCCAGCGCAAGAAACCTTAAATATTTACATTGGGTAATGTTATATGAATTTAACAAATATGGTTCATTTTAGCTAGGGAGATGAGGTTATAAATTTTCTTAATATTTAATGCACATGCAAAAATAATCCAACCAACCAGTATTTTAAATCAGGGAGAGGAAAAGGTTTTTAGGACTATTAAGTAATTTTTATTTTAAATTAAAATAAATGTTTTGCAAAATCAAAAATATTTTATTTTTATGGAAAAATTAAAATGAATATGAAAGAAACTTCATATTTTATATATAAATCTATCTTATCTTATATAATATATTTATATATATCAGAGACCTGGCCGGTTATTTATTTAAAATTTTTTTTAGGCCTAGTCGGGTATATTTTTAAAAAATTATACGGCTCGACCCATGTATCCGGGCTTAGAGCCTGGCCTACATGTTTCTGTTATATTTCATTCATATATATTTAATATAAAAATAATTATTTTTAAGGAGTTTGGTTTTGTTTGTATTGTTTATTCTTTTCATTTCTGTCCATTCTCATTAGATATTTATGTTATATATATGTAATAATAATTGTAGTAACGTATAAATATATTGTAATATTCTATTTATACATTATGAATTATAATATTCGTCAATTAGAATGGTTATAATGATTATACATATATATTTATTATTTTAATATAATAATATAATAATATTGGGCAAGGTTAACTAATAATGTAAATATTTATAAAAATAACAATATATATAGTATTGAAAATTGTAAAAAGGAGGATATAAATTATTTATAATAAAGTTTTCTTCTAAAGTTTCCTCTGCCTTCTATGTGTTAATATATTATCTTTGAAATTATTATTCTATTCTTATATTGACACAGTCATGGGTGTAGATGTTAGTAAGAATTTCATCTAATTTATTAAAACAAAATTCTATTTTCTGTATATAAACTATAAATATTGCATGTATATGTTAGCGGTAATGTGTTTTAAGGCGTTTTTTTAAATTTAAAAGCTGATTTAACCGGAAATGTATTCCAGCTTAGAATACCTATCTTATGAGTTATAGATTATCGTTAACTTTTGAATAATTTATTATTTTTAGAAAAATTGTATGGAAAACTAATATATATTATAATAAGTTCAATTTAAAGGTTCATGGCAAAATTGCATGAAATTCTTAGGGTAGGTATTCCAAACTTGGTGGATTACATTTCAGGTAAAATGTTTTTAAACTTGATTTAAAGTTGAAAAATAACACATTGCCGTAAAAAACTTTGCCGCTAACATATATATTTATATAAATTAATTAAATATTTACTTACGTCTATTTATTATAAGACAATAATTATACCAATAACTGTCTTCTCATTTAATTTCTATTGAATTAACATTTTAACAACTAAGGAAAATAGGGAAATGGTCTGATTATTCGACTATTGATGGCTAAACATTTAAATAATTTATTTATAGCACCAATAGTGCTTATAATTCCACCTGAATGTTTTAATAGTTAATAATTTATAATATTTAAAAACTATTTTGTATAAATACATATTAAGATTCTATACCAATTTTAAATTTTTCTTCCTAAACCCAAAATTTTTTTCCTAAAGGTCTACAAATTTTAAAAGCCTCTAGGCCTCGTTGGACATTTTTCCACCAGTATTGTTGTTAATTAGTCGACTTCTTCATAGTCGTAGTCAAGGAGATAGACTACAAACTTTAGCAAATAAATTAGTCGGCTAATTTCGGGGAATTGCTTAGAATTTATATATATTATATTCTTTTTATATTTCTAATTTATTTATTTTTAGCGCCTGGTTAGCGCCAAATTTAATATTTATTTATTTTTAGCTCCCAGTTGACACCAAATCTAATATTTTGTATGTTTTTTAAAATTATATAAATAAATATAATAAAAATAAATAAAATTAATTATTTTAGTCTTGGTCGACTATTGACAAAATTAATAACTAAAGCTTTTAGTCAAATATTTCAACTATAACTATTAGTTAGTCGTCTATTAGCCAACAACTAGGCTTACTGGCCAGTCCGCTCCTGTTTATGACGATGATTGACCTAGAAAGCCTGTTAAGTGTAGGCAGAGTTGGGCAGGTCCTCCAGAAAAAGAATCTAGATACAGATACAGATTCTTAATAAAAAAATGAATCTTGGATACAGATACTAGTATCTTTTTCAAAATATCAAAAATATACAAGATAAAAGATACTTGTATCTTTTACTAAATTAGAGTATTTTAAATACAAGATACTTTTAAATTATCATTACCAATTAAATTAGAATAGTTTATAAAATACAGTTTTTATTATTTATTTGTGAAGAACATAGCATACACATATAAGAATGAATATTTGCAATAATTAATAAAATATTTATTAATGAATTAATTATAATAAACAGGGATTTTAATATTAGTTTTTGCCCATTAATAGCTTAAACAGGGAAGGAAGAGTAATATATTTAATGGAAGTTGAAAATTTGCAAATAAGAAAAAAAAATTAAATCAAATGTTTTATTAGAATTTGCAGGTTATTTTCTGTGTTGTTTTAAATATAGCTTATATTCGGAGTATATGGCTAAATGGCGTCTCTAAAAAAATATACTAGTTTTATTTTATTCATTATCTTTAATAAGTATTTATCATTACTTGTTTGTGATATTAATGTATTTTTTAAATTAGTTTATTTTCTAATATGACTTATTAATTCTTGCATTTGTAATATCATATATATAAATATCATTTAGATCTCTTTTCAAATTTTTTTATATATTCCTTGCAAAATTATTAATTATATATAAAAAATATCAAAATAATGTATAACATTATATTATAATTATTAAATACATAACAATTTTCTTTAATGCATTTTAAATTTATTAAATTTTGTAAATAAATGCTGTAATATAATTTTACTTATATCATAAATAAATAAAAGTAACTAATAAAGTTAAATTCTACTTTATTATAATTATTTTACTAAGAGCCTTTTAAAATTATCTAATGTTATATATCAAGTGTAGCTTAAATATTTCCTCTAATAAGAACTTGCTAAAATAATTATATATAAAATATATTAGGGATGTGCCGATATTTTATATCGGATCGGGCCGACTTCACCCTTTTAAATATATGTTATCGGCCAATATTATAAAATTTGATCCGATATAAAATGGCTTCTTTAACAAAAATAAAATGTTATAAAATTTAAAAAAAAAATTATATCTAAGATCATTTATTTTTATAAATATAAAATCGTAATACATTTTTATGTATATTTTTTTAATAATAATAAATAATTAATAAACATTTTGCCATATTGTTATTTTTTTGTTAATTCTGTTTATTATAGAAATTTTCTTCAGAATCTGTTTTTAGTATATTGACAGATACTATCGCCGCAAGCTGACCTCTGATAAATTTGAAATATTGGTATTTCTAAAAAGAAATCTTCGATATATTAATGTTAAATATTATTTTAAATATTTATTTCAAATTTCATAATATAATTGTTTATTACTTATTATATATATAGATTAATGATAATACTTATTATATAAAAGTGAAATGTTATTACTTACTTATTATATAAAAGTAATTTAACAATAAAAATATTTTATATTTTTATAGAATTGCAATTGAATTGAATATAAACTATAACTGATCATTATAATATATTTAAATGACATAAGTTATGGTTATGGTATAGTTAAATTATGGACGTTATACTAATAAAAAGTATATTATAAATCAAAACCATTGGTATCTTTACAGAATATATCATTAGATATGATATCTGATCGGTAATCGACCGATATCAATTTAATATCGGGAATATAGGATCGGCCTCCAAAAAAGTGGTATCGATACATCCCGAAAAAATATATATCCAAAATGATTTTAATTTGATATTCAACTATCTTCTATAAAAATTTTTAATAACAATTATCTAAGAGCGACTTAAGTATAGGTTATTATGTTAATAATTATAAAATAAAAATGTATAATATACTTTAATATGTTTAATTAACAAAGTTTGTAGAGGAGTTTGTTGAGCCTGTAATAACTTTTTTACTTGTGCAATTTTGACATTCAGCTTGTACCTTGTTCTTTTTCAATCTAGAATTTTAAGATTTGGATTTGATTCAGAGAACCTATCTCCATAATTTCATCTTCACTACTATGATTGTTAAACATTCTACAAATTAAAAAATATTGCATATAAAATATATCCTTATCTTATTTAGTTTTGGTGTTGTTATTTTTAATCTATCAATCTTTGTGACCTGTAAAACTTCCAACTAATTTTGGTTATCAATATATTTAAAATATAGCGGGAAAAAATAAAGAAAATAATACAAGATTTCATGAAGAAAATAAAGTAACATTGTGTGATATGTAAATGTTTTAAACATGAATATTAAAAAGAATCTGTATCTGTATCTTTTTAAAGAAAATGAAAAAGATACAAGATACTTTTCAAAATAAAGGATCTTAGATACAGATACTAGTATCTTCTTAAAAATGTCAATAAGATACCGAGTAAAGATACAAAAGGATCTTGTATCTTAGATACAAGTATTCGCGGTACTGCCCAACTCTGAGTGTAGGCAATAATATATCATTGGTGTTAGGATTTTATTAGATAAAATAATAATTAGCAGGCATCCATTTATTATTTTTTAAAATTTAAAATTAATGTCGAAATGTAAAAATTCTGAACTTAAGATAAGTGGAGTTAAGGTGTTTTTTCCTTATGCCCCTTATCCCTGTCAAATAGCTTATATGGAGAAAGTTTTTCTTTTATCGATTGTCTTAAAATAATATTTTGTAAGATCATAAAATCACTTCAGAACAAAAAATATGCCATATTGGAAAGTCCAACTGGCACTGGCAAAACTTTATCTTTATTGTGTGCTACCTTAGCATGGCAAAGAGATATGAAATGTTTATTTAAAAAAAACATATTTAACTATATTTAAATAAAAAGATAAAATCCTTCAAAATAATTTGCCGAACTCTGATATTTCAAATAAAAAATTAAAATATATGCAAGAAAAGAAAAATTATACAATTAATTTATTAGAAGAAAGAAGGAGTAATATTTTTTTATTACATATAATAAATAAACGTTTGCAGATTCTGATGAAGATTTTATCAAGAGCCAACCATCTACTCAAGTTTAATGTGCATTATAATTAAAAAATTAAATTATAAGTAGATACGTTTTTTAAGATCATTTATTTTAATTTTTATATCTAACCAATATAACTGATTCATATATATTAAAATATATAATTATTGATTGATACATTTTAATATATATATATAAAGAATATAATCCAACCTCTTATCAATATTGATAAGAATTCAATCAATCTTTCAGATGAATGGTTATCAAAATCATCAAAATATTTTAATTATCAGCCTCATAAAATAAGAAAAATGGACATAAAATATGATGATTTGAGCCCTGAAAAAATAAATAATTCAAAATATGAGAATGGCAATCAATATATAAAAGATTTACTGATGAAAACCACTCAAATGTCCAGCAATAAGAAAAGTATTAATAGGTAAATTTTGTAAATATGCATTTTATAAAATATATATATTTTTAAAAAATATTTAAAATATATTTCATTATTTATTTCAAAATAATTGCAAATGTTCAAGGCCATTTCTAGCTCCATTCTGGTTCTGGCCAAAAGAACATTATCTCAACTTGTTCTTTAAGGTCTTGCAAAATCTCCATTTAGACCTGGAACCAAAAATAAATTAGTAACTATTTAATATTTTATCTTATCTTAGTTTTTGTTTTGCTTTTTTAATAAATTATTTTTGGGTTCCATTTACTTTAATTTAATTTATAAAAAATAGAGAATTAATTCTAATTTTAATAAAAATAACTAGGAAAATGAAATAATTTGTTTATAATATTGGTTTTCTATTTTTTCTTTCACTTTTCATTGTTTTTTTTTAAAAAAAATGCAATCTTATATATTTTTTGCTAGTTCTTTTAAAAAGTTCAATTTATTTAGCATTTATAACTTTATAATGGTATGCTAAAATGATTGGGCAAGAGACTTAGTGCAAGGCAACCAGACTATTGACCCTTACTACCCCTTACCATACCTCACCCATATTTTTTATGTGAAAATAAGACTCAGGGTTTGATATCTAACATTTTCAATTTATTTTTTAATGATTGATGTTGATTGGCTTGATCAAGTTTTAGACCATACAAACAAAGTGTATTACAACTTCTAAAATATAAATTATTAGGGCTGTGTCGATGTTATATATAAGATATTGGGGCCAACATCATACAATTCAATATTTTTATTGTTTTTGGTTATATTTTTGTTATAATATTGGCAGCAACCAGCAAGAAAAGTATTTTATTTAATATTAAACAAATCACATTCAGTCATAAACATTGCAATATTTTAAATGAGAGGTTAATTGAGGAATAGGAAAACCCAAAAACATGTAATCATTTGTGATAATGCACCAAATATTACCTTAGTCATGAAAAATTTCAAAATGTTTCAATTTTTTGTTATGTCTACAGTATATAGTTATTGTTTAGAAAATTTATTAATTTTTTTATAACATTGCTATGGGGGTATATAAAATAACTCCAAATATCGTATTAGTATTAGTTATGTATGTATGAATATCAGAAATATTGAACTGGCGAAAAATTTGAAAATTGGCACATCCCTAGTAATTATAAAATAACCCCTTATCTTACAATTCTTATTTATTTTCAACGGAAATGATAGTTTTACAATTATATAGTGTCACCTTGCATAGTCACACCATCCTTCTTTTTTTTTCTTTTTGAATGATATTCTGATTTAAAAGAATATCATTACTCTTTGACTGAAAAAAACCCCTACATATATATATTGGTGTAGATTTTTAAATTTTAAATCTGGCCAAGACTTAAATTTTTCACGTTTTTAAACCTGAACCTCACTCGGAGATTTTTTATCCTACGAACTGGGTTTCTGACAGGGCTGTATTATCTGATATATAATATACAAACCCTAAAATCTTAAATATAATCGATTTGCTATTCTTTTTTAAATAAAATTAATTATGTTTGCCGTGAACAGGATACCCAAAATAATTTACAGTACCCGTACCCACAAACAGATAAATCAAATCATCAGTGAGCTCAGGAAAACGTCCTACAATAATATAAAGTAAACTTATATTTCATATGAAACACAATGGCTGGAGAACATTTTGATTTTGAAATAAATTAAATTCGCAAATTTATAACAACTAAAAACAAAGATTATTATGAATAATCTTCCACAAATTAATTAAAAATTATAATAGTAATGAAAATAACGATTTTTAAAATTTGTTAAAATTAATTTATAAATTTAATAATATAATTTATATTGTTAAACTAATTAGATATTTTTGTATTTATTTTTTAATTTTGCTCATAGATGGCACAATTTAGACATCTATTAGCGAAATCTCGACTCTTAGGTAAAATTTTTCAGGCTAAAATATTGAGTTAGCCCTTTTTAAAAATCGGCTCTAAATGAACCGTTTAACAACACTAGGCATGATATTGTTGATTGTTTTTATAATTTTCTTACTAAAATGATGCCAATCTTTGCATTTTTTATTTATTTTGTCAATAATGTTTTTTTTAAAACTCTATCTAACGCATGGAAGTACTAAAAAATATGAAATATGCACTAATTATTGACATAAGATCCTTGGCTGACTTTACGCTTAAGACGTGATATCATAGTTTGTATTTGGTTTGTAATTCGGTTTTTTTTGTGGCTGGTGAAATTGATTAAAGAATTAATAGAAGGCAATAAACATTAAAATAAACCAGAAAGTTATAACTTCTACATAACTCCATTCTGGCATGATTTTAATTTTGACAGTTTTTACCAATAATTCTTTTCCCCTTTAAACTTACCAAACAGAATAAAAAAATAAATTATTAAAGTCCTACTCATGATGGATCCAAACCGAAACGAATATCGGTTCAGAATAAATTATTGATCCTATATTAGAAGGCATGGTTATTATTAAAATTAATTCCCAAAATATTAAATCTAATGTTGCAGAATTAGCCTTAAATATTCGGCAAAATATAATCAATGAAATAAATGGTAAGTTATTATCTCTAAAAATTGACTGTGTTACTCGTATAGACAAGTCCATTGTTGGGATTAATCAGTATATTAATGCAAAAATTGTTCTGAGAACACTAGCAATAAAAGAAATAATTTATCTCCTTTTAATAAAAGTATTAAATGATTATGAAATCAAAACATCACAAAATACACTATAACAACTGACAATAGGGTAAATCTTATTAAGGTGTAATTATTTATGAAGGATAGTAATGATGACAATCAAATGTCTGAAAATGATGAAGAAGAACAAATACAAATTGTCTGATATCATACTGGCAGTGCCGGCTACCCCTGTTAGTATGGAGAAAGATGTTTCTCACCAATTAAATTTTTACTATCTCCTTATAAATGTAATTTGAGTGAGACGAATCTTGAAAATATATTCATTGTGCGGCTTAATTAAAACTTTTTAAGTAAATAAAGTTAAATATTGTTCTCATTAAAATAAATCATTGATATTTATTTGTTACATTTATAAATTAAATATTATTTTATAATGTGCAATTAACAAAAATGAAGGTTTTATGTAAGTGTTTTTATTTTAATGATAAAAAAAAAATTATTATACATAATTCTAATGCAGGTTTGAATACAAAAGTGTTCAAACTGGTTTTTAGAGATTCGAACCTAGCCGATATTTTTATTTTTTATGAACCGAACCTGAACCTTGAACCGTTATTTTTATCCAAACCTGAACCGAACCGATATTCGTTTCGGTTTAGATCCCTGGATGTTTAAGTTAGTACTACAAAAGCACCCTTTAATATTTTTAGCTGGTTTTTTTCAGTTCTTATTTTATGCTAAACTATATTTGCAAATTTATATACATTATTACTGAAGAATTTTATAAACATTTTTTAGAGACAACAAATTATTTTAATTTTTATAAAAGTTTTAGGATATATTATAATTTAAAAACAAGTTTATATTATTTAAATATTAATTAAATAAAATTTTGATTATTGTATGCCTTAAATATATAATAAAATATGAAATAGAGTATTTCGGGCAATTTTGCTTTAATTTAGACAATCTTTACAATAATTCTCATAAAATTTGTAATATTTAATTTTCAAACTTTTTATATTTACCAATAAATATATCTGGTTAATTTAATAAATATCAAAGCTTAATTTAGAAATTTCATAACACTTACGGTATTTTTCTATCATTGAAAGATTAACTATATTTGTATAACTTTACTTTCTTAATAATATTGTTGAGATAGTCAATATCATAATTTATTTATATTATAGTTAAAATGTAAATAATATATTAAATTGAGTTTTTAATACTCATTGATTTGATAGATTTTATAATATTGATATTATTATAGTATACTCCTGAAGTTTGGTAAATTAATATTTGTTAGTATAGATTGGATTTATATATATATCTATATTAACAAGTAACGTTATATAAAGATGACAATTATGCTCAAATTATTTTGATGTTTATATTAAAATCAGGGCCATAGCCACTGGGGTGGGGAAGCCCCTCCTACCCAAAAAATTTTTGGACCCCCAAACCTGGCCCCCAGAAAAAATCTTTGGCCCCCATAAATTCCCCCCCCCCAATTAAATTTTTTTTTATAATATATTATTTTTATATTTTAAAAATAAATTTTAAATATTTATTCAAAAAACATGTCTAGTTTGTAAACTCTTTCTATTCTATTTTATTTTTATCCAATAATAAGTCATCATTCATTCATATTTATCGTTTTCATGTGTGTTTGTATATAACATTATATAGGCGCTTAATCACGTTTAAATTGTGCTTATTTCAATGATAATTATTTTATTTATTATGGCTCTATCATAATATTATTATTATAATATAATCAATTATTTAAAACAGCGGTGAATTTTAGATGAAGAAAATACTGAGATAACAACAATTTTGGTAAGCCAATAAATTAACCATAATAAGGTTACGTTTAGTCACAGGTGATCCAAAAGTAGGCTTTTACCTCCGACAAAGAATATCAATTGAAATTTGATTCAACTGCATATCCATACATGGGTCATTAAGCCCCGACCATACCTCAATATATTATTTTAAATTATTTTTTTAATTTCTCTTATAATTATATATTTTTATATAGAATATAGATATAGATGTCAATTATAATTTTAATATTCTTTTAAATAGTATTTTCATCATTGTTTTATTTTATTTTTATAACTGTGCATTGAAGTTTTTTAAAAATGATGATAATATAATTTTTACTATCTTAAATTAATATAGCATACAGGAGCTACCTTTTCTTGGGATTGGTTCAAAAAAAATTACGGATGCTGCAAAAAATGAAAACATAATTTATTCTTCTGGACTATTTATAGCAATGTTTCATACACCATCCAAAAAGATCTTGGATTAAATAAAATTATGAAATACCCAAAAATGCTCAATATACATCCCAGATTCAAAAGGAAGTAATATCTATTATGGAAGATATGGTGCTTTAAATATCTCAGATAAATATAACAAAACGAGTGCCTATTTTTTGTCTTATTGATGAGGCAAAAGATACATCAGATGTAAAAACCCGAGCATAATTATTCGCTACATTTTATTCTGGAGAAATTCAAGAAAATTTAATACGAATTATTAATTTACAGTGTCTTTCTACAAGCATTACTGATTGCATTATTAATTCAACGAATATAATAAGTCAGGTATATGATGGTGCAGACGTGTCTGATCAAAATGGAGGAGTGAAAATCCTTCAAAAAAAATTTAATAAAAAAGTTCCTTTTATATGCTACAACCACAAGTTTCATCCTGAGGTTCAAAATTGGTATAATATTGTTATCATTTCTAGTTTTTTTAAAATTTATCTAATGTATTGTATAATTTTTCAGACATTTTAGAGTATTCTGTAAATATACAGGTCATGTTTTAAGAGACTTTTAGACCAGAGGTGGACTGGTCATTTAAAAATATCTCGCATCATTTATGAGACTTTTCAGACTATTGGTGAAGTATTATTTTACTTTTCTAGTAGACTCTTAATTCAGAGGTTTCCACTCATGATTCAGTCGAGCCTCTGGTCTTTTATCTCAATGCGTCAATATATATTACGTTATATTAGCCATTATAATTTATGAGGCATAATAACAATAGATCCACTGAATAAGTATCTACAGTCAGTTAGTAATCTACTGGATGCTAAAAATTATGTTATCAATATATTAAAAAATAAAAGAAGCGATAATTCTTTTAATTTGATTATAATTAAGGCTGAAAAACTTAAGATTTAATCTCACTCCCCACAAATCATCAAGGGTACGTAAAACGTCTATAAATTTTCAAGATTTTTTAGTCAAAACCAAATTACAATTTGGTTGTGAAAAAGACTCCTTTTGGAGTTCTTTAAGAAGGAATTATGAAATTATTGATTACTTTGTTTGTGTTGATCGTTTTTTAGATAGATTTACACAAGATGACTATAATCTTCTATCATGTTTTAATACATTGTCCCCCTTTGACCCTGATTATTTTATATCAAATAAAATGGCCCGATTAGAATCATTATTAAACTTAAATATGGAAGCGTTACATCATGAAATGAAAATCGCTAAAGGATTATTAGCTGCAGAAGTTAAAGAAACACATAATTTTGAAATATTCTAAATATTATGTATAAAAAAATATCATCATGCATTTAAAGAATTATATAAATGCTACTCAGCAGCCATCATCATTAGGGTACCAACGACTTCTTGTGTGGCCTCTTTCTCTACAATAAAGAGAGTTCTATCGAGCATTCGAGAGTCGATGAAAGATCAACGTAAGCAAGATTTAGTATTGATTATGAAAAAAGTAACATAAAATTTATCCTTTAATTCATTTATGTTAAAATTTAAAAATAAAAATCGTCGTATTATATTATACTATTATTTTGTATTCATATTACATTAATAAATTTTTAATAAAAATGAATATTAAAAAATTTCTACGAATGCTTAATTATTTGTTTTATTTTTAAAAAATAGTGGCACCCTAGCTGAAAATTCCTGGCTACTGCCCTGATTAAAATTAAAGTAAATTACACTTCATTTAAAAATTAGTAATTTTATTTTCACACTATCTTAATCTTTAATTTGACAATGGTAAGCAATTTGCCGAAAATTGATAAAATATCATTTCCCAATAATTATATAATATCCCTTTCTTCGCCAAAAGTAGAATTTTTTTTATTTATTCTTATAAAGGATTGTTTAATTTAATTATATAAAACAAATATATTCACTATTATTTTTAGAATTAACCTTAGAGGATCATATGCCCTCCCCCCATTTCAGTCCCATTGTTCTCCCTAACCTTACCCATATTTTAGAGTAAATTGGCATAATGACCCTAAACATCTAAAAGCTTTATTATTTATTGCAAAGCAACTACGTCAAACTGAGCATTCATTTTATGCTGCTGGCTTTTATTACACACGCCAATTAAACTATTTGTTAGAGAGAAAGAGAATAATTACATATAATAGAATTATTAAAAAATTTATGTTAATTTTAATAGAATGACCATTTTATCTAGTAGAGATTTCACTTGCGTTCATCCAGAAGTTGCTAAACAGAGGGATAAGAATGATAGGTGTATTAATCTTATCAAGGGCTTTCACGTAAGAGTATATTTTGTTTATTTTGATTTTTTTTGTAAAAATTGATCTTGAATTCAGAAAATGGAGGGAAGAGAAAAAATATTTTAAAAAAGCTTTAAATATAAATAAGTAGTTTCTTTGCAAATAATTGCCATAATTTATCATTCTGTCAATTAATTATAATTTTTGAAAGTCAAATTTATATTTAGAAATTAAGCACTACAATTGTATTCTTTATTACCGGTTGAGTGTTATGGTGTTTTATATCCATTTATTTTAAATTTTTAGTTGAGCATTTTTGAAAAAGTTGTATTTTAAATTGGAAATCACAATGTATTAATACAAATGCAAGACTTTCTAAATTATATTTTAGTTTTTTTAATGTTGATATGGAAGAATATAGTAACGAAGAATTAGTTTATCGAGATAAAAAAACATTTTGCAAACAAAATGAATGTAGAACACTATAATAAACAGCCAACGATTATTATTTAAAACAAATTTTTTTTGTATTTTTAAAATTATGGTTATATATATAGGTAGGTTGCCAATACTACAAAAACCTATTGAGGCCAAAGAGGCAAGCAGAGGTGTTTGATTTTGCCGCGCAAAACCCCGTATGGGATATCGAAGAGTTGACACGTTTTGGCAGAAAAAATTGGGTTAAAAAAATTATTTAACTGTACAAATAAGAAGACTAGTCGATAAGTACAAATACACCGTCCATGGAAGTTTTTATCTGGGTTTAATGAAATAATTTTTTTGGACCATTATAAATTATTAGAACTAAAATTAGAATCAATCATATTGGAAAATATAATAATTTCCATTCGAACACAAATAAAAAAATATTGGAAAATTATAAATGAAGAACGAATATAATACGGTAAAAAAAATATTATAGCTATATAAATCGGTATGTAAATCACAATAAAATATAAAATTAAACATTTTACAATGATGTTAAGAGTTAATCAAAATCAGGGATCCAAACCGAACCATTAAACATCTAATAACCTTTATTTTTTATCGAACCTAAACGAAACCTAAACCGCTAAAAAAAATCTAACCTGAACCGAACCGTTAAAATGTATCTGAACCTGTTTGAGCATCATGATTTTATGTTTATAAAATAAAGTGTAAGTTATTACTAGTATATTGCAAAAATTTTAATTATATTCGAATTGTTTTAAAGATATTTTCAATCACATTTGATTGATAAGTGTCATTCATAATTTTTATAAACTTTAGTATATTGTCATTTTGCAACATTTTTTAAATATTTTAAGCTTATAAATTATATTGTCTAGAGAAAATTTAAATCCAATATATAAATTATTTACATATTGTATTATAAATGACACATCAAAATGTAATATTACTGATAGTCAAATAATATGAAAGGCCATCATGAAACAAATCTTGAGAGTCACATAAAAAGAAACCACCCTCTATTCGATAAAATTAACAAAATATCACAACAAAAGCCTAATTAAATAAAAAAGTTTAAGATGTCATCAAGCCAACATACGATAGAAGAAGCATTAAAAGAACAAACAATATCAGTAAAACTAAATAAAAAAAATAATAATCGATGTTTGTACTGAGTTAGTCACTTTTAATGGCAGACCATTCAAATTAATCGATGATAGCGGTTTTAAAAAAATTCTTGATCCTATATTTGAAGTCGTGTTGTTAAACGACCTAACTTTAGTCAACCATAAAACAGCATAGACATGTTTTTAACTAAAAATATTCCAATCAATCTTTAAGTTGAGACTCAATTTAGAGGCTTAAGGTAATTTAACAACATTAATTAGAAGGCATGGGTAATATTAAAATTAATCTCAAAATATTCAATATAATGTTGCCTAATTAGCCTCAAATACTCTGCAAAATATAATAAAAGAAATAAATGGTAAGTTATCTCTAAAAATTGAATGTGTTACTCGTCTAGACAGGTCCATTATTGGGATTAATCTTCAGTATATTCAAAAAACAAAAATTGTTCTGAGAACACTAGTAATGAAATTAATTTTTGAATGGCCCACTGCAGAAAATTTATAAATCCTTTTAATAAAAATATTAAATGATTAAAAAAATCAAAACATCACAAATATACTCTATAACAATTTACAATGGGGTAAATCTTATTAAGATGGTAAAATTATTTATGGAGAATAGTGATGATGACAATCAAATGTTTGAAAATGATGAAGAAGAACAAATACAAAATATAGATAATTTGAATGATGTTTTACTAGTTTCACAAATGTACCTGATGAATTAACAATCAATCTTAATGCTTCTTAATATAATATTATGAATATAAGATGTGCTTCTCATACCTTATGTGGTAGATCATGCAATAAAAAAATTCTCAGTTTCTAATATTATTAAAGCTTGTACAGCCTGCAAGAAGCTAAGGACAAAACCGATATCAATCATACTAAAAAAATTAAACTTAAAAAGGACAACTTTTAAACAACAATGCCTTTTTGTAATGCCTATATCTAGATTTAAGGTATGTTTTAAAAATATCTTATATCAACAATTAAATTTATACAATCTCATTATATATGTAATATGAGTGATACGAATCTTGAAAATATATTATTGTGCGGCTTAATAAAAAAATTTTAAGTAAATAAAGTGAAAAATATTGTTCATAATAATATTAATTATTGATATTTATTTGTTATATTTATAAATTAAATTTTATTTTAATGGGTGCTAATAAAAATGAATGTTTTATGTATGTGTTTTTTATTTAAATGATAAAATAAATAAAATATATTCTTTCCTATACATAATTCAGATGTAGGCTTAAATCTAAAAGTGTTCAAACCGGTTTTTATAGTTTGAACCGAACCGATATTTTTATTTTTTACGAACCGAACTTAAACCTAACCGTTATTTTTATTCGATCCTGAACCGAACCGATATTCGTTTCTTGGGTCCCTGATCAAAATATCATTCATAAATAAAAATTTAATTTTCTTTGCAATTGCGTCAATTTTTTATTAATTTATTCTGTGCTGGGGATTAGATTTAGATGAGTCAAGCTAGTCTATTCAGTCAATTTTAAGATGTCTTACTTTGACATAGGTTTCTATTTTCTGTAATGAAGAAAAGGTTCACTCATTTGTACTTGTACTAATTGTTATCATTGTTAAAATATACAGTAATTTTAATATATTTGGAAAACTTATAAAATATATTTTAAAGTATGCAATGTTTCCACTGTATTTCTCGGAGAATTATCTACAAAAATGAATCTTTCTTACCATTTAAATTCTGAAATTAATCGGCCTTTACATTTATATCCTATGAATAAAATTAAATTTTTCAATATCAAGATTTGTTAAAGGAGTTATAAGATATAGTATTTGTAAATTTGGTAGAGTCATTTGATAAATCACAAATCGTTTATTTATTTGAATCAAAATTAAATCCAAAAATGGAGTAAAAACGATTATTTTATAGTAATCCTTAATTGAGTCCACGTAAATATTGGAACGATTTGTTTGTCGGTATAGTCGAGGCTGTGAATCTCAAAATCATATAATTTCTCTTTGACCTCAACAATCACATAGATCTCGAGAAATTCATGGTCGATATTATCTCATTTTCTAATCTAATATAATAATATTCTCGATTCTCATAATTTCAGCCAAATACATTTTTTTGAAAAATATTGCATAAAATTGTTGTGTAATAAATTATTAATAAATTCCAAAAAAAAAAATCGGTAGTTATATAAATCTAAAAATGTATCAGCTTCAGGTAAAATATCTGTTTCAGGTGATTCTGATATTTCTCCAAGGGCATTTAGGCTTTTCTAGATCCAAAAAATGCTATAACGACTTGATGTCGAAGGCTCCATCTTTTCGTGCAGGCTTTGCAGTTTTTTTCCCTATAATACAAGAAGTCTCAAAAATAATTATATTCAGCTTATTCTGTCTGATTGGATATTTGAATTCATATACTCTAGGAAAATTTTAATTATAGTTATTAATAGAAGTAAATTAATTATAATTTATTTTGGTTGATGTTTAAAAAGTGTAAGAAAATAAATTTTAAATTTTCCCGAGAATAAATATTAATATAAAAGAAAGAAATAAATATTAAATTAATTTTAACTTTTTGCTAATAGTTAGAAAAGAATATAACATATTTGAAATAGAATGCTTAGCAATTCAAAATTCATGAAGCCCTTTTATATTTTTTTCAAAAATTTTGCTACAGGGTAGGTGAGGGAGATTTTCTACCTTCTCCCCCACCGCTGGCTTGGCGCCTAAACCCTTTTATATTTTTTGGAAAAATTATACTACGGGGGGGGGATTTCTTCTCTCCGTTGGCCCTAAGCCTGGCACTTTGAAATTCTTGATCGGGGTTATTTGGCCTGGCTCATTAATTTTTAATATTGTACAAATTGTCTAGCCCGGCTTGATAATTTTTATGTTATATGCTTTAAAGGTTTTTCAAACTTCAGGCCTAGCTTATAAATACATTTTAAAAAAGTTGTGTGGCCCAGCCCTTTTACTTACATTTTTTTTAAAAACAATTAAGGTTCACTTGATTATATTAATCCTTTTTTTTCATATTTGTTTCATTTTAAGTGTATGTATTTTTTTATAAAAATCTATCATACATAAAGTTATGCCCGTATTTCGCCACTAGAAGTCTCATCGAGGATTCGGATATCATATTTTGCCCCTACAATTACATTTTGGATAAAGGTGTCAGAAATTCGGTACACAATATGCACATTGATTTTTATAATATCTAGAAAGAAAGGAAGGAAGAAAAAAATTAAGTTTCCATTCTAATACTATCATACAAGTTTAGACTCCTTACATTTTAATTAGTCTCAAAATACGCTATTTATGGGAATAATAAAAAGAATGTAATAATAAGAAAAAGAGAGAGAGAAATCAGAAATGGAGAAAAGATAAAAAATCAAAACAAATCAATAAATCAGATTCCATCCTTAAACCTCAAAAACCAAATTCTTATTTTTGACGAAGCCCATAATATTGAAGACGTAGCTAGGGAGTCAGCCAGCCTGACATGGGAACACGAAAGTATTTACCAAGTCTGTGAATTCTTACGAGGTTCATTTAAATAACTCATTTCATATACCTTTTAAAATTTAAAGTAGGGTTTTAATTTTATGAACCACTTTTATCGTAAATCGATTGACTTATTCCTAAAAATCCCCATTTTGAAAGGCAGTGATTCTTAATATGCAGATGTTCACTTGCGCCACTAAGCAAAAAAAATTATTTACCCCAAGTCTTATGTAACTTTATCACGTGACAGATCAAGTTACTTATGATCAAATATCATCTGATCAACGTATAGCCTTACTCATCATCTATAATATAATATAAACTTGTTTAATAATGACAAAATTTATTTATTTAAATTTTTTGTTCAGTTCATCTTGTTCAAATTTTATATATTTTTATTTAAAAAAAATTAATTTTTTAAATATATTTAGATGTAAGATGGAAAGACTGTGAAAAGGAGTGCCAACTTTTAGCTTCCACGGTAAGTAATTAAAGTGCCTACTATTTTATTTATGGTCACCTGAATGGTTGTTGCTTATAATACTCATATAATGTTTGTCATTGGCAAATCACAATCAAAGATTTTGCTTGAACGGTGACGGTAGAAACATAATTACTAAATCTATACTAATGGCACTGCTCACTCTTGTTGTTTAGGCGAGCCAATTTGTAAAAACTGTGAATCAAGAGTTCATATCTTTTTTTTTATATAAAAGTTTTTATCTAAATCTTACACGAACCATTGATAATCCCAATTACGTTTTGTGGAAAAATAGGCACAAATAAAGTTTGATTTCATTTTGTATTAAATCCTATATTTTGAATTTTCTCACAAATATTTATAAGTTACGTACAGTTTACGAATGGATGTCCGATATGAAAGACCATTTGGACGAGGACGTCGAAAGCGCTAAGGAAATGGGTAGCGGAGAAAAATGGAGAGAGGTGCCATTTATTGACAAGAAAAACGGTTTGTTTTTTTTTGGTGCTCTTAGAATTGATACAACATAAGAAAATGTAAGATGCAACTGAACCGGTTTAGACCGCTCCATAATCAATGGCTGACTATTCAGATTGAGTTTAGAAATTATCTAGAGGTTAGTAATTTTATCTGCCAATTTCAGTCCAGACATTAAAAGAGATTTTGTAAGGGTCCGACTAATTTAAATCGGTCAGATTTTTACTACCATAGTTAAAATTTTCGTCAACCCCCCCTCTCCTCCTCCCACTTATTTGAAGTATATTCATTATAATAATACCACGAAAAATTTAAATTGAGAAATAGTAATTTATGCTCATAATTCAAATTATATATTTTTTAGAGCGAAATTTTGATTCAGCAGCCCAAAGTTACTCAGGTCAACCCATGCTGGCCGTCTTAAATCATATCAATATAGGACCAGAAACTTTCAGCACGATTATGGTTTTTTAAAATTGCTACATGTAATCTTAAAATTCAGAAATTTAGTGATATAGATAGTCTGATTTGACAAAAGATGAACTCATTTAAATGAAAATTATATTTTATTTGGTAAATTAATGCTACAAAAATAATTTTCTTAAATAGCTGCTGTAGCTCAGAGAGTTTGGATATATGGACGATAATAAGTTCACTGTTTCTTACAATTCGAATATTATATTTTAGATGTTTTTTGATATTAACTACCCCAACAATATTTTAATGAAGCCATTGTGTTAGGGTTAAGGTTAAAAGGGTTTCCATATATGCGGTATTAATATATATTTTAAAAGAGCGCTAGATAAAATATGGTACTTGCTTAGTAATTAGCTAATCCAAGAACTAAACAATATAACATTTTCATTACCCCTCAAAGTCTGTATTTATTATTGTTGGTAGTTCTATTTTTAGCCGAATTTAAAAACGATGAAACCGAGTTATTAACCAAAATTATCATTTCAGTCTCGGGGTTTTTTTTTGAAACTATATCTCAATCTTGGAGAGAACGGAAAACAAATTAATTCGCGCCTCAATGCCTAGCTGATTTTCTTCAGCACGCGCTTGTAGATAGAACTGAATCAGCTGATTAATTATCATTAATTTAAGGATAATGCCAAACGGTTACTACAGTCGACATATGTATGATCAACATAATGATTGACTAAATAATTTTCAAATTATAATAATTATAATAGAAATAAAAATGTTAATTTACATGTCTGGATTTCCATAACAAATCGACCAGTGATTTCGGCCGACCATCTCAAAAATGAGTGAAACTTGACATGTTAGTTATTTATGTTGTAAATGTTAATAAAATTCAAATTTTGAAGCGCCAGCTTAACCAGATCTAAAAATATACACCTTCAAAGTCGAAAATCTCGCAATGCGTGATTTCATTAAATCTTGTTTTTTTTTTTAAATACTTAAGATCGAGTTACAAATTATATATTATTTTATAGCCCTTCATTGGAAAATATCAAAAAAAATTAACCGGTAAAAATAAAAAATTAACATTGTTAGGAAGGGTGGGGTGTTGATATTCTCTAAAAATGTTTATTTTTATATAAAACTATTTAATAAAAAATCTCAGCCATTTTTGTTTTAATTTTATTAAAATTTTTAGTATTTTTATAAATAAAAAAGATAATATAGATGGCCTTTTGTTAAAATTTTTTTTATAATATAATATATTTAATAAATATATGTATTATATTGGTATTAAAATTTTAAAAATCGATTGAATATAACCAATAAGATGCCCTGGGGCAATAAGTAAGGAAACAACCCATAATATGGTTATTTGTTAGGACGCTATATTTTAAAATAAACATTTTAAAATTTTTTATATAAAAAAAAATATCTCTTGTTTTAATATTATCCCATTTTACGTTTATAAATAGAATTTCCTGAGGCGATAATTTGTAGGTCGTCGATCTACTAACGGTATTATTTGATTAAGGGGCAACCATATCTTTTCCTCAATTGTGGGGTAAAAGAAGGATGGATGGGGGTGTAAAAAGGAAATATATATATCTCCTTAGTAATTTTATTCTTTTTATGTACTGTAACTAACCACCAAAAATCGTCAAACATGTTACAAATCTTTAATATCGGCAAATGACAAATTATCGGCATTTGAGATATTGTTAATTTGAAAGTCTTCTGCACATGAATATATTTTTGATTTAAGTTTGCTTAAACTCAAAGGAAATACAGAATGTATTTCCCAAGTTCCTGGAATGGGGCGAGCTAAATTAAATCTTTCTCGTAGTTTAATCTCTTCCAAATTTTATTATTCATTGGTTATATATATAAAATTTACTGATGGCATGTTTTGTTTTGCAAATTGATATAAATCAATTGGTGTTAAAATGTGCCAGAACTGGTGCGCTGAAGGTTTGAACGTGCTGCTAATCTTTTTAATGTTCCACCAAGGCCATCACATGGACCTTTTACATGGGATGTAGCTGAAAAATGCCAATCAGTTGCTACACCAAAATCTGATTCATGATAACACAGATTTATTATTTTTTTCTGTTTTTATATTGCGCAGCTGATCTGTCAGAGCATTAATATATTTTACTTGGCTTTTTGTTAAATTGATTGGTCAAAAAAATAACGTTAGTAGATCCACAACTGTGAAAGGATATACCTACAAATTATCTCCTCGGGAATTTATATTAATAAGCATAAAATGGAATACGATATAAATAAGAAATATGTTTTTATAATAGTTTGAATATAAAATTTTAAAATATGTTTATTTTACAATATTGCCTCCTAATAATAATCATATTATGGGCTGCCTGCTTACATATCGCCCCAGAACATCATAATTGATTTTTTAATTTTAATCCCAATACAATTAACATTTTAATTAAAAATATTATATTATAATGATTTATGAATATAACGCCAGCTATATTACCTTTTTTTATTTATATAAATAATAAAAATTTAAATAAAATTAAAAAAACAAAAATGACTATAGAGATTTTTTATCAAATAGTTTATAACACTATCTTAAGTATTTTTTTAAAGAAACAAGATTTTATGAAATCACACATTGCGCGATTTTCGACTTTGAAGGCGTATATCCTTGGATCTGGTTGAACTAGCATTCTAAAATTTTGAATTTACTAAAATATACAAAATAGATAACTATCATGCCAAGTTTCGTTCATTTTAAAGATAGTCGTCCGAAAATCTCGTTTTTTTGGTCGATTTGACGTGGAATGACCCTTCAACTAAAATTATATATTTACCAAATTATGAAACTATTAATATACCAATCGATATCTAATCAAATTTAAATAAATTTTTAACAATTTATATAATAATTATTGGATTTCTTTTACAAGTATTTAGGCTGTGTTCTATGTTGAGTTAATTTGAATATTTAATTGTTTTTTAGTATAAGCTAAAAAGTTTTTCAATAAGGACACACTATTTTGGCTTGTTTTAAGTATTTGATGGCATTGTTATTTTTCATATTTTATTGTTTTATATTTTATTAATTTTTTTTTTTTCGTTTTTTTTATTTTAAATATTTTCTTTTGCTTTTGGGACTATTTAATCGATATTTAATAACCTCCTATTTAGTATTATGCCACTAGGACGCGGCCTTAGAGCTTTTATTTTTTGAATTTGTTATTATGGTTATAATTTTGTTATTATTTCAAATTTTTAAATATCTTTTTTTTATAACATCTTTAATTTTATTATTTAATCTTCTTGAGCTGGTCGCTTTATAAACAGTTTTCATTTTAAACAAATCTTTAAAATTTAACCGAAATTAATATTTAAAAGAAATAATTAAAAATATCACCATAAAATTAGGAAGCTATATGGGGATTATACCCCATCAAATCTTTTTTATTTATAATTTGTATTTATAAATAAGTTTATTATTATAAACAATACAATATTATTATATTGAAATATCTTAATAGTTTCATCTATTTTAAATAAATTTTCTCTTCAAAAAATCTTTTTCATTAAAAATATACTATTTTATATAACTTCATTCAAGTATTAAATAATAATATATCCAATGCAAAAAAAAACGAAATAAGAAGTTTATTAATATGCCACAATCAAATGGCCTTCAATTTGACTAACTATTTTATATTATTTATGTCATTCAATTTAGCACGCGCCCAATTTTGGTTTCCATTTCTAGATTATTTTTTTAAAGGGTCTTAAAACTTTTAAAATTATCAGATTAATATATTTACTGTTTGTTGTAAATTTCAGTCCAGCTTCGCCAAAATTAAGGAACAAACGGAAAAGAAAGCTCCCGCCTCGGCTGAACCCGAGCCAATGCAAAATGACGAAACAAAAAATCTTGAAGAATATGGTAATGACGACGCTATAGGTGGCGGTGAACCGAAATACCTGAAATTATTTGAAAATTTGATTATAACGCTGCAATACTTGTACAAAGATCACATGAAATATTTCGAAGATTATAGGTATTTTTTAATTTATTTCCTACTTTATGTTTATTTATTTATTTTTATCTTTAATCATTTAAAATTTTTTTCACATTTTCTTCTTCTTTATTTGGTAGACATGATAAGAATCTTAAGTATACTATCCAAAGTATTAAAAGGATTTGTTGTAAAACATTTCCAAATATTTGTAACAGATTTCTTATAAAATTTTAGCTTACCGTAATTATTGTAAAAATATTTTGATAAAATTGTTAAACAATAAGAAAGTTGTCACAAACAAATGGAAAGTTTTACGGTAAATTATGCTGCCACTATATTAGAGCCTTATTATTTTTTTCAGGCATCTGACATTGTCCGATAAACTTAAAAAAGATCAACTAATCCTGAGTCCTGGAAATATTATTTTTAGAAAGAAGATTTGATTCAAAATGTTTAGAAAGTTGACCATTTTCTGCTATCCCCTTAACAAAGATATCTCTAAAAAGCAGGATCCGTAATTCCAGAGCATGTTTCAAAATTTTCTGGGATCTTATGAAAACATGTCCGTTTTTAACGGGAATTAAGACAATAAAATGCCCGAAAGAAAAAAAGAAGAAAAAAAAAGGGTTTGTGTTAGAAACGATTTTGAAGAAGAATCAAAATTATCAATTAACGGAATCTTTAACCTTCTTTAAATTAATTACCATATACCTATATAAAAAAATTTCACAAAAAAGAACGACAGAAATTTTTTAATTCATTAATAATCTTTTATTTAAAAAAAATAAATAAATATTATAAATGGCCATTTAGATTAGTCCTAAGTAAAGAAATGCTTCCATTGAGAATGAACAAAAATCGAGCCAAAACGACTGCCAATTGGTTATACACTTTCAATCTGTGGTGCATGAACCCTGCGGTGGCCATGTCTGACCTTGTTCCCAACGTTCATTCCATCATAATCACTTCTGGTTTTATTTAAACTTTTTTTGGCCACATGCAAGGATTTACTTTTGTTTACATGTTTAAATTTTGGGATCAAAATAATCTTATTCATGATTACTTTTTTCCAGGGTTGGCATGTCGGTCAATTGACCGGTCAAATTCGGTCAATTGACCGGAAGAGTATTTGACCGGTCAAATACGGTCAAATACTCTAAAATATTAATGGCGAATAAATATTTTGATATAATTAACTAGTATGCATTAAAAGCATGTTTATCAATCTTATTAGGTTACAATTATTTAAAAAATTATTTGTATCATGAATTGTTAAAAACAAAAGAATTTTTTTATTGTTAAAATAAAAATATGTAATTTTTCTAAATATAGTAATATTTTTAGTTATTTTTTTGCCTAATCATTGCCGTTTCTCGCCTTCTTTATTTTTTTCAATTCATTTTTCTTAAAAAAAATAAAAATACCCGATTTATTATAATCATAATATAATTTTTTCATTCTTATTTTTTAATAAATTTAAATTTTAATTAATATTTAGCCGAGCATAAATTAAATTAATTCTCATTTGTTTTACTTACACTTGCTATATTTGGTTTTTAAAATTAATTTTCATTTTAATTGTTCTGGTCAGATTTACGGAATATTATTCAATTCTGGTAAAAAGTTATATATATTATATTATATTTATAATATTAAGAAATTATTGGAATAATTGGTCGATAATTATAAAATAGTTAAGATTGATTAACTTTACAATAATCAAAATCATTTTTTGTTAAATTTTAATATATTAGGGATTATGGTCAAACCAAAGCATCATGTTTGGAAACATTTTCAAGAAGTACGCGATGGTAAATCAGTTAAAGCGGTGTTCAAGTTTTGCAAGATGTCCTATATCACCCACGTTGATAGAATGGTCAAACATTTATTAAGCAGCTGTACTATGTGCCCTGTTATAATTAAGGAAAAATTTTATTCAAATTCCAAAATATCAACCTCTACAAAAAATATCACAAATGTAATTTGTAATACTTCTATCTAAGTCTAACTCTAATGAAGAATTGGGTGAAATTAGTGAGAATGATTATCAAATGAACAATATTTTGTCTTGTGACTCAGGAGAATTTGATTCCATTATTTCTAATCAATCTACAAGCAAGGCGATTAAATATAAATCTCAATCTTGTATAACCGGTTTCATAGATAGAATTAATCCCAAAGAAAAAAATGAGCTGGATCAATTGTTTGCAAAGGCTGTATATGCGAGCAATTTACCTTTCCACATCACTGAAAATCCCTACATCCAAGAATTTTTTAAAAAAAATACGTCCTATTTACACATTACCCAGGAGAAGGCAGCTGGCTGGATATCTTCTAGACAAAGCGTCAGGTGATATGGAGGTGAGAGTTGCAGATATAATAGATAAAGCTCCTTACTTATCAATTGTATCAGATGGCTTGAGCAACATTAGAAACGAGAGTATTATTAATTTTATGGTGATGACGCCTGTTCCAGTGTTCTACAAATTTCTAAATACTGAGGAAAATCGCCATACGGCAGATTATATTGCCCAGGAATTTAAAAATGTAATTCATGAATTGAATCCGGTAAAAGTCTATTCTTTAGTTACTGATAATGCCGCTAACATGAAAGCAGCCTGGAGAATTCTAAAATCTGAATTTTTATAATCATATACAATGTTATGGTTGTGCAGCGCATACATTGCAGTTATTCTTTCACGATTTTGAACGATTGAACGCCTTCAGTGACCATATTTCAATAATTAAAAAAATTGTTAAATTTTTCAAGAATAAACACATACCAGCTGCAGTATTTTCCCGTAATAAGAATCTTCATGGCATACCATCTACATTAAGTACAATAACAAGATGGGCATCGTCAATAAAATGTATGGAGCAAATTCAAATATGCAAGAAAGCTCTAAAAGCATCAGTTGTTGAAGAAGCTGTTTGTGATATTTGTCCCATAGAATTACCAATAATATATTAAACGAAGAATTTTGAACGAAAAATTTAAAATTTTTAGCTACCTCATTGTTGAAAGTGCAAGGGGATAAATGTACTTTGGCCCAAGTAAAAAACGAGATGCTTAATTTGGAAAAACACATAATACAATCATGCCATGATTCTATATTTTCTCCATCTCAAGAAAAAAAATTAAGGTTATGTTTGAAAAGAGAAAAACTGATCTAAATACATGTGCTCACAATGCTGCTTATTTATTGGACCCCCAATATCAAGGGGAGCATCTTACTAATACTGAATTTGATGAAGCATGTAATATAATACAAGAATTGGGTATTTTATAAGGTGGTGATAATCAAAATATTTTGAGTAATATAGTAAATTTCAGAAACAAAAGCGGTATATTTAATAGCCATAATATGTGGAAAGTTGTAACTTCCATAAGAAACAATCAAATTTCGACCTCAAGTTGGTGGAATGCATTTTGCCCACCTTGCCCATTAAGAGAAGTCGCTAATATTTTACTAACATTTCCTAGTTCGACTTCTTCTTCTGAAAGAAATTGGTCTGTTTGGGGCAATATTCACACATGTTTCACCCTCCGTGGCAGAGTCTTGTTCCGATTCATATTCAATATCATTATTTTCTTTAATATTTTTAATCAATCATAAATTATGATACACTCTTACTAATTTTCCTGCTGTAGAAGCCTTTAATCTATTTCTGTTTTTCATGAAGATAATATTCTGCTAGAACGTGTTAATTAATTATATAAACTTATTTTAAAATAAAATTATGGGCTATTTTATTTTTTAGCATAATATTCTATTTTATAATAAAATAATAAGAGTTTGAAAAAAATCTTCAAAAATTTTTCGAGCAAAAATCTGAAGATTTTATTTAAAGAAGAAAGATTTTTGATTAAATTTTATCTAATAATTTTTTGTAAAAAACCTTTTATAAGATAATTTTCATGATGAAAAATCTTTCAAGATGAAATCCCATTTCTCATATCCGCCGCTATCACCTTTAACGTCATCTTAGGCCTTCCTCTAGGTTTTGATCCCGATACTTTTATCAAGTGGCTCCCTTTATCCAGTCCACCTGATCAAACCATGTCAGTCTATTTCTTCTCATTACCTCTCCAATCACTTTTATTCCCATCTTTGTTCGCAATCCCTTGCCCGCGCTCAGAAATACCCCACACATCCATCTAATCGCCCTTATTTCTGTTCTTTCCAATTTGGCCTAGGAAGCCACTTCCATTGCTTAACTATACAACTCCTCATAGAGCTTACTTAAACTTTTCCCTTTAACTTCAGAGGGACATTTTTATTTGTTAGAATAGATGACAACTCTGAACTTCTTCCACATTTGTCTAACTCTTGCAATAGAAACAGAATATACACTTCCATCTGTGTTTAGCATGCCATCCAAATAACAAAACCTTTCCACTTTTCTTAGGGTTGACCCGTTGCCAATATCTAAACCACCAGTTTCTACATTATTATTATTATGTACCCCTTTCACGCATGTTCTACAAATAAAAGTCTCACTTGCTATCATCAGGTTTCCTTTTCCCTCACTATATCTTTTATGGACCCATTTCTGGCATCTGGTAGTATTAAATTTCTTGCAACTCTTTTTACTAATCGGATTCCTCCACCTGCAATTTGTCCTCACCAATTATCAATTTGTTTTTTCTACATTCATTTTCAGACCCTTTGTTTCCATAGCCATCTTCCATCCAATAATTTTATCCCTCAATTCTTTCTTGTTATTTGCCAACAATACAAAGTTATCCGCATATAAGATCTCCCACGGAAGTCCTTCACGCATCTCTCTAGCCATCGCATCAATTACTAAGCTAAATATTAATGGACTCATCATGGATCCCGGATCTCAACTTCAAAGCTTTCACTATCTTCATCATCCGTCCGCACCGCAATTTGTATTTCTAAATACATTGCCATCACTCCCATAACCAAAAATTCTTTCATACATGATTTTCTCAAGGCCTATCAAGTAACTTCAAGCGGCACCCTGTCAAATTCTTTCTCTAAGTCAGTAAAGAATACAGTTTTTTTTCCCTTGCAAGATATTCCTGCAAGATATTCCTCTTGTATTTTACCCTTCACAAAAATTTCTGTTGTGTCTGCGAAAAACAAAACCAAACTGCATTTCATCAATTTCGTTTGTTCCCTTAACCGCTTCTCTAGCATTCTCTCAAATGCCTTCATAGCATGTTACAAGAGTTTAATAGCTCTATAAGACCCAAATCTAATGGATCACCTTTCCCTTTGTATACTGGTATAATTACACACTTCTTCGCCAATCCTCAAGAACAGTTCTTTATATGACAATTAGATTGCATTAATTTATTAGCCATTCGATCTCCAGGTCATCAGAACCCCCCTAAACATTTTCTTTAAACCCACTACTTTACCTTTTTTCATCTTTTTTAAACGTTAGTAATTTTATCCTTGCCAAACCTTCAGCCTGGACCTTCTACCTTTGCACAACTAAATTCGTTATCTCACTCATTCTCTACATTCAAAAATTTTTCCATGTAGGTCTTTCAGATGTGCTTAATTCAGCTACTATCGATCACCATTTTACAGACATTTAACGTCTACAACGCCCTGTCTCCTTTTTGCCATCTACTTTTCAATGTTGAACATATTTCTTCTCCCTTCCGTGCACTCCATATCTTTAGAAAATCCCAGCCTTGATCTTCTTGCATTTTCGCTATTAATTTCTTTTAATTTCCCTTCGCCTCCTTGTATATCTTATCACTATTCTCTTTCCTATTATTCTGTTTTGTAACGCCTCCGTTTCTCGCCCACAGCTTTCGCTACCTCCGAATTCCATCACTATGTCTCCTTTTATCTAGACGGGCCTTTTGTCCATCAACGTACGTCCTCAGTGACATGTACAATTTATTATATTTTTAACTGTCTTGATATATTTTGTACTTGAGTTTATATATCTTTTACAAATAAATCTAAATACATCAATTAATCAT